TTGAAATTATTTTCGACGTGACAGATTCTTTCCCAGTAAAATGTGTCTTATATGCAGTGACGTAAGGTCCATAGGGACTGACAGGACCATGTCCGGGAGCTCCGTGTTGATCCTCAAATTCAAAACGAAATAATAAGTCTTATGTAAAAGTGTGTCTGATAAACTCATAGAACAAATAAATGAAGCGCCGTTTTTTACTGTCTCGAACTTATTACGTTATTAAGTTATGTAATCGTGCTCCGGAAAACGGCGAATTTTCGACAGAAAATCTCTTCATTGCTGGGACCTGCTAACAAAAATAGATAAATTCTGTATATATATATATATATATATATATATATATATATATATATATATATATATATATTGTGACGTACCTTCATTGCGGTACTTTGCACTACATTTATTATTAGAAAGGACAGGTGTCTTGGTTCGTGAATGGGCCGCGGAGGGTTTGGCGAAAACATTGGAAAAACTCAATTATCATTTTCTTTGAACAAACAAACAATTTATTACTAGAATTCGAAATTTAGTACATCAATTCCGGTCTAATTACTTCCTGTGTTGGTACCAAAACTATACCCATGAGCTCAAATTACACAATACCTTGAATACTATAAATAGTTCGTTTCTTCTCGGATGCTCCCCAGCGGCTGCGGCGATCGGCGGCCTTCGGCGCGACTCGGCGCCCGTCGGACGGTTGACTGCTTGGACGCCCGTGGCCCCGGCTGTCCGCGGCGGTTACACGACACCTTTGCTTCAACCCCGACCGTTGCGAATGTATTTCAGATCGAGTATACTAACTCAATCACTGTCCACTTACCCTTTGTTGTTTATCTCAGTGCTCCCTTGCGGCACAGCCTACCAGTTCTCCTTCGTTTTCCTTTCACAATCACGTATACACGTGGCAACTATCCACTGCCGTTACCAGCCATGCGGTGTACAGTTCTTGCTTTGTCACCACAGTTCCCGACACCAATTTCGCTTCCTCAAGCTTGCACTACTTATTATCGGCCACTATCATACTTAATTCACTCCCTAATGATGTCTCTTCCTTTATTTAACTTCATTTTGTTCCCCTTTTACCACGTGCATCGACATCGCTCCGCTCTCCTTCGAGTTCTCTTACCTACTGCTGCCGACGCCTCGCCCGGTCTCGCCGTCATGACGTCAGTTACTCGCCGCCGTTGCCGCGCAATTCAAAATAGGTGTATTTGAAAAAGTGCACCGCATTTCGGTGTATTTAAAGAAACGCTCCGCGTTTCATCATATATAATATTCTTACCCGCCAACTCTATCCCCAACTTACCACCTTTAGCAGCAGCACGCATGTGCAGTAAGCGTGTTATCAAGATTTGCTCGTGAAGCGAGCTGAAAATTCTCAGGAAGCAGGATCTTTCGGGTACGAGAAAGGTCTGAACCCTCGACACAATAAATTGCAAAGATTGTGAACAAACGAGCGTATAATTTACCCATGAAATTTGGTGCCACAATTACACGACAAAAAAAATGAACACACTTTTACAGAGAATAAATAGAACCAAACTAGAAACCTCACAATAAACAAATTCTAACTTCCATCAAAATTACAAAAAAGAACTGTACAACATTTAAATAACCTTTCACGTAAAACAGTTCATGGTATGGCTCTTCTTTTTTCAACTGCCTAAATAATTCGGGATTTCACTTGTTCTACTATTACGCCTAACAAAATGTTTCCCACTTTAAGCTATTTTAGTGAACTGTCGCGTTGCTGCGATTGCTTTTTTTCTCTAACGAACCTGCTGTGGTACAGACGCACGTGTCTCATCGACGCTGCGATGCTCGCTGCCAGATGACCTCGCCGATTCAAGGTTGTGGCCGCTCCAACGTTTCGCCGAATTCTCCACTTGCTGCGTCGACCGTTCGAAGTCCCACGCTGAACCCAGAGCCTTCGCACCTACACGCCCTGCTTTCCAACCATACCTTTCGCACGTATGCTTGAGCCTTCTTGGAGATGCCTTCTTTTTCTATCTTCACGCGCCTCGTTGTATACATTTTTGAATTGAATTGAATTTGCCTTATTTTACGTGGCGAGACTCGGGCCATCAGGCCCGCTCTTCCGTCTGACCACGCAAATTTCGCTACGCTCCTTTCATCAACTAGGAGAGAAAGGAGGTATTTCTTGGGCGAGAAACAGGCGATTTGAATTTAGCTCAGAGGCGTCATTTAGGCTTGAGGATCTTTTACATGCAAGTAAATCTACGAACATGGGACAGCCGGCTTTACTTCCCCTCCGAAGGAAGGCGTACGAAGGATTTTTTCGCCCTTAAAAATCCACGGCTTCGATCGGGTTTGAGTTACATTAATTCGCGCTTCTAATTTTATGTAATTTGCTGCGCCCCTTTCGTTTGCGTGCGCGGCCTAACTACTACACTTTTGGCTTGTGCGGTAATAAGGAGCAATATGACTGTACTGCATAATCCTCAGAGTTCTTCTGCGCGAATCTAGGCAACATTAGTCTTTTCGCCGATTCCTAAATTTACACCACTTTTTCCTATCACTTCGGTAGTCTAATTTCTGCTACTCTAGCTCCACGTATTTAAATAAACTCGTACTCTATCCCGAGAAGACCTTCCTGTGATTCAAGCGCTGTCGATGCGATCGTTGTCGTTGCTGGAATATCAGAGAGCGCTCCGAAGCGTGTTACCGTATTTATGAATCGACGCCGGAATTTCAAGAGTAGGGTTGCTTCCCCTCTTTCAAGCCTCCACGGGAAAAACGTTGCTCGCTAGTTCGAGCGCTCTAGTGTGGTCAACGGATAACAGGTTGCGCGTTTAAGAGCCCCTGCACCGCCGCGTATGCTATCCTCGCTGCTTGTGGGTGTTCATAAGTGCTAGACGGTGGCGTTATGGGGTTGCACAATCCCATGACGTCACATTATACCTTTACCGAGAGAGAGAGAGAGAGAGAGAGAGAGAGAGAGAGAGAGAGAGTAAATCATTTACTCTGACACGTGGTGTAGCCAAATTCCATGTTTTGTGGGGCCTTGATATCGAAAAATCAATCTCGGCATAAAGTATGTTTCTCCGTCCGTCTGTGGTAAACGTTAGCTGATTCAGCTGATTTCCAAAATTCATATTCTCCCATCGATTTGAACGAACTCTTGACTTAGGGCGTTTCAACCAGATATTTTGATTTTTGAGGCTACGTTATATGATGCTTGAAAAACAATTTGAGATTTTTCTAAAAAAATGGTTCTTAATTTTTTGATTAAACATTGTCCTCGGATAGTGTAAAGGACTCTTATTGAGCAACGTATGTGAAAGAAAGCTTAAGTGCAAGTCTCATGTTCGTTGAATTGCAAGATTTTATAAAAATTGCAAACACGCAATTATTTGGGGTGTCTTCCTACACCCATAATATTGAAGATAGATTTTTCCTCGATAAAATCTAGTCTTTAAAGACTGATCTTGAAATAAGGCAATATTTTTTTTCATTTTCATGTCATTTTGCGCGAAATATAGACAATTTAAAATTTTAACAATACTTTTTTTTCAAAATCCTTTCCAATTCTATTCCTTACGTTTTCTCGTATGGACTACCAACGGACGATAAAAATATGGTGGTTGTCTCTTTAACTCTGTATTTTAAAAAAATGCAAAAATTTAAAATTTATAAAGCTACAAAATTGATAGAATTTTTTTTCTTTAAGCAATGTCGGTTCTAAAAAAATCAACTCCTTAAAAAGAGTCACGTACAAGTTTTTTTTTGAAAAACTAGTAATTTTCGCATGATTTGCTTGAAATTAATTTAATTAAATTAATAACATGTCTTTAATTTGGGGGCTTCCGAATTATGTCGGTCCGAGAACCTCTTCTGATGAACTTACGCCACTGCTTATGTGACATATGTTTTTCAGATTTTTAAACACTGTAGACGATAGTGAAAACAAATAAAATCAATTTTATCGATTTAACAATTTTAAATTCTCAAAAAAATATGTTTGGAAAAATTGTTTTGCTAATGTTTAAGCAATTTATATTTATTAATATAAATTGCTTTTCTAAGATCTACAACTTTTTGTGACAAATATTTGTTTTTATGAGGAAAGTATTATCGAATTGAATCAACAAACCGCTTTTGTTTTTAAAATTACTCGGTGTAGGTATATTAATCATTCACGATTATAATATAAATCAAATTACTGTTGTAGACTTGTTAATCATTGGGAATTAGACAATCATGGACAATTAATATCTGCCTTTTTCAATAACTGGCATTACCCAGTTTTTAACAGTCTACTCAAAATGTATGACAAAAATTATTTTAGTCAATATTTTCGCCAAGTAAGGGACGTGTGCGTGGAGATACGTATTATTTATAAAACGTGTAAATAATAAATGATCACAGCTATGTGGGAGCTGCATGAAGGTGGGACTTCCGTTCGCACGTTCACAATATCTTTTCACTCCCGATATTCTCATGGAGCATAGAGATGGGTGGGCTCCACCGGTGCACCGGTTTTTGCACGTTCTGCACAGCACCAGTTTGCGTCACGAAACAGGTGCTGTGACACGGGCACTTCGTTTGTAAAGCGACACCAGACGTTGGATACAATGTTGCATAAAGAGCAGGAAGTGTTGAGAAACAATTTGAAAGTGGCACAAAATGATAATTTTCAACGGTGACCAAGCAAAAAGAACGGTGTAATTGAAATAAAAGTTGTATTATTTTTAAAAAAGGAACTTATCTGTTTCTGTTTCAATGACTTGCAACAGTAATAATTTTGGCATTTAGAATTACTGCTAATATTATGAGGCAAACTGGTGACTGAAGCTCATTGGCTAAAGTTGGATGCGCAGAACCCACCCACCTCTTTCCACTATGAATATTCAAATTGAGTTTGTACATAATCGATGTAACACAACAAATAAGATTTTGAGTTCATAGGACGTGATTGAATTTGTGTTTAATTTTTTTAACATAACTATTTTTAACTATTTTTTATAACATTTCAGATCTCTGTATGACAACCAGATAACCTGTGTGATGCCAGGATCATTTGACGCTCTTACATCACTTCATAGTCTGTAAGTACTGATTTTTTTCATATGCTTATTGTGCTATTGCTCATTTGCTGTAGGAATGACATAAAACGACATTGAGTGTTTAGCGGGGAGAAATACAGTATATGTGTGTACTCGGGCACAACAGCTCCGTAAGGGGCCAAGGCCAACAAGCGGCGTCCCGATCTTGCGGCCATGGGTACGTGTGGTTACCACCTAATACATACCTACGCCGTAATCTGGTCTTCCCAACCTGAGAAGTGAGCTTTCTCATCGTCACCCAGCGGCAGGTACTGGAACATTAGAAGAAAAACGCACACTATGATCTTGCTCCGACCTGGATTCGAAAATTATTTTTTTGAGCATACGGTAGTTTCAAGAAAAAATCATTACCTAACTTCATTTTATCGTATCATTTACATCAATTACTAAAACCTATACTATCCAATACGAATCAGTATGTAACCAAGAATATTTTTCAGCTTTTAAATGAATTAAGTTCTCTTATTCTTCTACTGAACACACTCACGCTAACCCATGGGCGTTCAGTGGTTACTTTGTATACCCCTGCTGCTAGCGGTAATCAGCTTCCCTTCCCCACCCCTGTACTACATTTTTTTTGTTACGATTTGTTCGTATCTGTTGTAATTATGCCAAAGCTGGTATTGTTCTACCGTTTTCAATTGCCTGCTTCTGTTCGAGTAACTGTCCCGTTAAAATTGGTCTCAAAATATCAATTATACATAGAGTTGCCGCCAAATGTTCACTATTTGACTGAACACACTTGTGTATTTGTTCAAGTGCACAGCAATGCGAACGTAAGCTAAAAGTGTTTCATAAATTCCTTTCCTACATGAAGTACTTTAACGAACTCCTGATGGGTGCTGGCCCCAATGCCCACAGAGAACTATAACTGAGACAGCTCTCTGCTTACTTCCTAATTCTCTTCGACTTCGCTACGTTCAAACAAACACTGCTGAATACTCCTCGGATGTTATAAGTCCCTAACTTGTTCACCGCTCGCTACTGCTCTCTCTAATTCCTACCACTGTGGCTAACCGCATTGGCCCTCTCACCTTGGCGTCTCGTACGATCTGTCAGCTACTCCGTTTAATAGGTAGCGTGACGTCACAACGAACCCTTCCGCGTTTTCCGTAAGCTAGAATATCGCCGCCGTCGTGCTGCGGGCCGCAACTAACAGATAGCGCTGTTTCATTAAATTACTAATTTATTCAGCTCGCCTCTGCTTCGGTGATTTTCTCTGGATTCGCCGTCGCTGTGTGCAATTGAGCGGTTTCCGAGCTTGCCTTAAACGCCATTCTATATAT